GGGAATGAATAGGAATGCTGACGGTCGCTCACAGCCTGCGGATGATAGAGTTTAGCTGTTTGTGCTTTGGCTGTATGCGGTTACACTCCATTTTTATGTAGGGGAATAGGAATGCTGACGGTCGCTCACAGCCTGCGGATGATAGAGTTTAGCTGTTTGTGCTTTGGCTGTATGCGGTTACACTCACTCCATTTTTAAATCTGATCAGTCATCCCTTGGACTCGGCCTTACAAGAATCATATACATCCATAGGTGATCATTTGTCTTGTCAATCTGTAACACCCCAAAACTGCAATCACAAAGGCGTTTGTCAAAAAACGAACTGACCTATAAGCATAATGGCAGTCAGCTCTCGGGGCGATTTGTGGTGAACAGTGAGACCAACGAAGGCGACTAGATTTTTTTAGAATTCCTTGAAGCACGTGATATCCCTTCAGCTATAACATCTTGGTCTTCGACGGAAAAGTGTGGGCTGTATTAACAGCAAGGTCACGTGAGTATCAGCCTATATGTCAATGAGAAGGTTATTACCAATTCAATCCTGTTCGCCTAATCCCATGTTCAGTCGGGCCGAATTCGTTATACGAGCTTCCTTTGCATACTTGCCGTAATGTGAATTCACAGTGCCAGATGCATATTGGATGGTAAAAAAAATAAAGCGACGCTAGAGGTAGACCACCATGAGGAAAGGGCTATAAACCCTCTTTTCGGCAACGCTCTTGTGAACTTGTGGGGGGGACGCTATACCCTGTTATCCTTCAAGGGAGCTCCTCGGAGAGTGAATCTTCCAAAAAATCAAACCAGACATCCCGTTCCTCCTTTTTCTTACACCCTAATTTTGTGTGTGATTTTGAAAGGCAACCTTGAGAAGTAAACCTTACAGCTAGGTCATCAAGTAAAGCACTCTGAAGTGGAAGATTAAGGAACGAAAAGCGATCGGAACTAATTTGGAACCCTCCAACACATCGCCCCCTCAAACTAAATTGTCGGAACACTCACAACCCCACAAAGACTAAGGAAAATCTAACAGCGGCACCCGAGGCGAATCATCAGGTGAAGCATTCTGAAGTGGAAGATTAAGGAACGGAAAGCGATCGGAACTAATTTGGAACCCTCCAACACATCGATTCAAGATTTTGGCACCCACACTAGCCGACAAGAGCCGTTAATTGACACTCAACACTGATTTAGTCTGAAGAGAACTTACTGATTGGTTCCCCGTCTGTCTTATAACCTGGCCAATTTTGTGACCTGTTCACTTGGCCTGATGAAGCTTTTGTGTCAAAAGCGAAACGTTGCCCAAATAAAAACTACCGATTGTTTACCAAGCTCTTCTGAAACGATGACTTCTCAATCGGTTCCAAACTTTTTCCAATTGATTGATTACAGCTAGGTCGTTTATTCGCGAAGTGTGTGCATTTTGCTTCGGTTCAGGTTGTTTCAGCAGTTAGACGGTTCACTTTGAGACGAGGCGTTAAATGTGAATCATGGAGTGAGATGAACGAACAAAGAGCCAATAGTGGCTCAAGGGTGGGGATTATCGGAGAGAATAAGATATTGCTCTTCACTCTGCCGGTGAGCTTGTCTAGAATTGGATGGAATGGGTCCCTGGTATCGTAACCTCGTAGATGGGATAGACCACTACGGCCAAGGCCCATTGGTGCGTCACCTGTGAGTCGTGTTATGTCAACCCTACATTTTCCACTCATAATGGGCTTCAACATACGAGGCATAACGAGACAATCGAGCTTCTGACATGCTGAGAAAATGATAGAGCCGTCGTAACTGCTTCTACCGTATCTGATCTCTTGTAGAAGATCATTTGTTGAATTAACAACACGGCGTTGTCACGATACACGCACTGCGCTTCAAAGACCGACTCTTTTCAACGCCGAGTGGCCAGGTTTCACACCACCAAGACAGCACCTCGGTGTTTTAGACCCTAGCCCTTACCGACTTCTTTGCCGTAAATTCCCGGACCTGGTAGACGCACCTCGGGATTTGGAAATCCAACACTCCCTTCGAAGTACCGTCCTCCAAAGTAACACACCTGTCCAGATAGATGAAGTCTTCAACGGAACTATTCTTGGTTTTGTATGCCTATGATATTGTAATGACACTGCACTTCTTTATCGTGGCTTGCACTTTTTGGGTGCCAAAAACTTTCCTCAACTCGTTGCTAGACTATTCACATTAGTCAGCATGTTTTTTTCGGAATCTGAGCCCAGTGATGTATATCTGCCTATTTTAGGTCATTTAGCTCCTCCTCTTGGAGAGGGTCAGCAGTGGAGGAAGTAAATATTTCAAAGGATTCCTCCATAATGAGTTCGACAAAGAAGCTTGATAGGCAACCCCAGCGAACACCACTTCTTGTAACGGACTAAGGGGAAACCGTAGCCTTTCGCGCACCCATAGATGTTAGAATATAAGAGCTGAAGAGGTCCGGTGAATAGGTTTGTTACATATATGGGTAAGGTGTGCTCACACGACGACATTGTCCACTGAGTTCAACATTGCTTGTGGCTTTTGGAAGACGACGGTTGCTGCCTTCCTGCATGTGTGACAGAGTTTAATCAGTTGTTGGCTTGTAAAGTTACGGTCAATGAACGGAAACCTGCATGTTTGCTCCTCACATGTCCAGATGGGTTCACACAGGATGCTGCTCGTTAGCAGCTTAGTAGCGACGTTCACCAAACCGATGCCCCGATGGTTAGCGAATCCCATTCTATGCAGCGTCCCGAAGGTGTTCTGCCCTGGAGTGGCTTTTCACGGTTGTCGTCAAGCAGTCCTAAGTTCAAGTAGATCCACTTGATTTTATAGAACTAGCATGTTCTCAACGATTTTGAATCGAGAATGACAGGTTGAATTGGACTCCTTCAGTCACCAGATCAATGATTTATCCGTTTTCCTCCGTTGATATATTATACACCCCAATGACCGCCATCTACTAATACGATTGCATCGTGCGATTGAGTCGGACTGCACCTTTGAGTTAAGTGGACCCGGCCAACTATCTCTTTCGTCTCTGACACATCGAAGCGACTGCTACAGACTTCTATGGTTTTAGGGCCAGTACCCACTGATTACTCTGCCTCCCCTGTGGTACACCACTCCTTTTCTATATTGTGCTCGAAAAAGTTCGGTCTACTACTGTCAGCCAGACAACAGTAGAATAGCCTATCTTTAGCATGTATCACAAAACTATGCAGTCACTGAGAGAGAGAACATTGCATCTAAAACTTGTTTCTTGAATATCATGTTACCATCAACGATACTCATGAGAACCGGTAGGACAGTGATAAACAGTAATCGTTCGCAAACTGGTCGTTGAAAAAGAACGATTTTATACAGCCGATTGATGTAGCTCATTCCGGATATCGAGTTTCTTAGTGCGCTTACCATGCGTTGATGTCGGTGAAGATACTTTCCGATCCTCTTTACCGAATTCAACTTGTTGCGAGCCAGCATTTGACTATAATTTAATCCAGTTTCGATCTCATCCACAGACGTTACACCGTTAGATAAACGTTTCTAAATCTAATTGACGGATATTTGTTGTGGCGTTGAAATTAACTCTTAGTCTATTACTGTTACGCAGAACTGCTTTGGACGTCCGCGTGCAACTGAAACAACCCTTAGCAAGACAGTTGAGGTGTCGGCGTTTTTCACGGAAAGTTTTACCACGGAAGATCAATACAACTGCGTGAAGTAGAAACGGAGTTGCTTAGCTACTTATCGCCAAAAAATTGTTTAGGACTGTTAAAAATTCGTCACAATTCACAATCTGTAGGCCTTGCACCGTGCTACGCATAAATTACATCTCCATCCCCTATAAAACCCTAGAGCGTATCAGTTACCGGTGCAGCTGAAACATGGAAGAATTGGCTAGCGCTTCTGATTTTTTGCACTTTTTTCCCAGATACGAACGCCACTCATTATTTAGCAAATGTATCTGTCAATTGTGGGTCGAACTCGCAGTGCTCGACAAAGTAAAGTTTGAATAATTCAACGTGTGTTATTCTCTTAGCTTGAAATTCACGAGTACACTCACACCAATATGGTATATGCTACGTGCATTCCAAAGAGCCCTGGTTGACGAAAACCAGTTCAGCGCATTTGATAATGTGCGAGACGAATTCCCAGTGTAGTAACTACCAGATACAGCGATGCGCTGTAGTTCCGCTCTATGAAGTCATTAATAATTTAGGAATGTTATCCTATCGGTTCTGAGCCTGCAGTCACAATCTCCACTGGCCGACTCAAAATGGTCTCTTCTGGGAGTGAGCTTACCATTTCAAATATGTCTTCAGCAACCAACTGAGGGTGTTTCTTCTTGGACTTCAGGGTTATTTTGTGTTTCGCTGGATCACCTGCGGGTGTCACCACAGAAAATAGATTTGGTCTCAGTATGTAGTAAATATTTTGGTGATACTTTGAGGAGGCTTTGTAATCTATGTTGTTCTTCTCCTCTTCTGCACTCTTCTTTATCATTAGTTTGTTTACAAGACAGTGTCCTCGCTTTCCATACACACGGGCTTCGAGGGATCGGTTTTGACGGACAGGTAACTGGTTTCGTTACTATTGATACATTTCATTGCATGTACATGTTTGAAATGTTATAGTACTTTCAGCTGCCAAATCTCACAGGCGGTAATTTTGAGGTATGTGCATCTTCAAGATGCTAGTGATCTGTGCTCTAGGCAAGATTGGACTCTGGAGATTGAGTTGACTAGAATAGCAAACACGGTTTGTTTCTGTGCCATACATACCACAGTATTGTCTTTCGTGGACAACATCATCTTAGGTAGAGCGGGCTCCTGCTGCATCTGACACAGCACGATTATATGCCTTTGCAACATTTTCATGGTCGATGTTGTCCCATCTGGAAGCTATAGAGTTACAATAAACCTTTGGAACAATGATTGCGAGATAGTTTCCTAGCGCTCTGCATTAGGCGTCTGATGTTTCCCATTCCATGGGTCCAAGTGCGCATCGGCTGTCGCTTTGGAGGGTATTCCAAGGATTACTGGTGGTCGATGCCCCAACAGTGAAAACACTAGCTGTTGGGTGTTGATTCGATTCATGTGTCGCTGAATCAACTGACACTCATTCTTGTTGACCTTGTGTGCACTCCTCGACACGTTCCTACATCCCGCTAAACCAGGTATGTTGTGTTTCGTTGATTTTCAGTTCTGAAAAAACTGCATGACACTGATTGGCCAGCTCGATTGTCTGGGCCAGTCGACCACTGGAATTCTTGTTGCGTCTGTCGACCCTTGAGATTTCAACCCGCTAGACATCGAAGTTTTGCCTTTTGTTTCTTTTTGTGCCGAGGACAGCTATTGAAGCATGTTGATAGTACGAACGTGAGTGGTTAAGGATAACTCGAAAAACGACTTGTTCTTGCACACAGCAATGTCTAATGGTAAATAACGCAGTTTCATGCCTCGTACAATAAGATAGGAGACAAGATTCTTTTCTTTTGCTTGGTACTTACGGTTTCGCATTCAGGCTGGTTGATGGCTACTTTTGGATGGGGACTGGTCTACGCAACTGGGAAATTATGCTGTTTCAGACAGGAGCATGGTCTTTTTTTGTCTTTCCGAATTAGTCGTCTGGTCCAAAAGTACCACCATTCGCAATTTACTCGGACTGATCCCGGGGACAAACAGAAATGTAAGAGCTGGTTGTACATGGTCAGATTGCTGACTGACAGAGGTGTGCAACTGTCGGTCGCATTCTTGGTCTTGCTTTCCGCGAACCTAATCTAGACGTCGCTTAGGTGATCTCCAGAACACAGGTTTTAAACCATCGATATACAGCACCTTTCCTATGTTTACCAGTACCACTTATTTCCCGCTAGTTTGGAGGCAGTCATTGGCACGATGCAGTTCGTATTTAGGGAATGACGGGTATGGTCAGGCCCTCATAGTGTTTTCTCTTGGAAACACCATATTTGTAACGCCAATGACAAGTGCCCTGTACTATCGCCGTTTTTGCATATCATTGTGCGTAGGATATTCCCCCAGCTAACACCGAACATTCTCCTTTTTTCGCTCGTGCTTATTCGACGTCAACTTATGTACGAATGATGTGGTTGTAGACCGAACATACACCTACTCTACGGAGGGACTGTCCGCTTTCTTGTCAATACCTGCTGACGAACTCCGAATCCGTGGTGCGACAGAATACGGTTACCTTCAATGCGTAAAGCCAAACCTAACTCAACCATTTAGGCACCATTTTTACTAGTAACTAACTATTGTGCGATATCATATGTCAAAAACCGAAGTTCGCGGAGACGATTTACTTTAATTGATTACTGTGTTTTAGGGACGGACAATACAGTTCAAATCGAACGCTGTATATCTTTCTTTAGTTAAGAATCCTATGTCAAATAACTTCCGTCTGATATTTTCCGGTTGTTGCATGAAGGTCACATGGGCTGTTCTAACTAAAATTACTGAGTAGTTAGTTGGTGGCTTGTTTGGCTTCCACGGAAGCAGTTCGAACCTCTAGTTGATGTGAATCGCGTCTTCAATACATTTTTCAATCATGCTTTGTTCCAGCTCACCCAAGATATCAACGATGACAAGCACATTTACAGGCTTCTGGGCTGTGACAAGTGAGTTTTTCTCATATACAGACAGTTCTTCTTCTCAGGGTCGAAAAGAACCATCCAATGTCTTCCAACTGAACCATAATTAGCCATAAATTTTTCACATTCTCGTAGGGGAAGGTTGCATACCACTAGTGGTTTGCACTTGTCATCAATGCGCACTGACGATGGTGACGAAACGTTTGTAAGCCAACTGCTAAGCTCGGCGAACAGATCACCCGAGCTACCAATATTTCAACACCTTGGCTTTGAGATTTCATCGGGAGATGCTAATTCGCTTTCACGTGCTTTAGTCAACTAAGTGCAATAGGAACGAAATAGCGAACAAACTGTCTTGGTTAGTTGTTTTCGACACATTTTTTGCATGGAACACATGCCCCTCATTTCACGTGGTATTGAAGTGTAAGTGACGTAACGTTGTATCACCTATGAACGGTTCATTTCTGTTAGCAATAATCAGTCTCAGTCGTGGCACCCTTTCAGTGCACATCTTCCTTCAGGTTCGAAGAAAATACGAAGGCTGAATCTAGAAAGAAACGATCAGATAGCAAGGGTCTGATTCACTTAACCCATAGTCAGCAGTTCTGTACCTTGACAGCTGAACTATCACGGACACTCATGGGTGGAATAATGAAACCTGACAGTTTTGATTGCTCTTGGGTGTTCTACCTTACGTATTTTTCTCGTTGAATTAGTACCAAGCAAAATTCTCAGTTCATCGGTCCCTAGACCTGAAGCTTAGTCAGCTTTTTTTAGTACGATCTGGTTTTCTCATTCACTACTCAGAAGACTGGAGTAAACTTTCCGTTTTGCACCGCCCCATACCTATCTGTGGATTCCCCAAGTAACGGTTTCATAACCTTGTCTGTTTTTTATGCAAGCGATGCAGTCCGGTTTCGGTACCTTTTGATAAATTAGATTGTATCTTGACTTTCGCATCGCACACTGAAAATAAATCTTTTTACGCTGAGAGTTTCTTTGAAGTCCTCAAACACCGCCAGTGCTCGTACATTTGATCTGAACGGATGTACAACGTGACATTAGTAAGGAGGCGAAACGCTAGGCGGTTGCTTTTTGCGCCGATAAGTAGATTTTTAATGAAATTCCAACGGTCCTCCCACGTGTCGCGGAAGACCCGTTCGGTGGATTCGACGTATACTTTCGCATGCAAAATCCCCGAAGGTAACTGGAACCGGAGAAATGTTCCATTAAAACGAGAGCGACATTTCAGTATTGAATGCATCCATGCGCGCGTGGCCGTTCTACCCTTCTCTTTGACCACGTTACAAGCCAGTAAGGAGTAGTAGAGTGGAAATTATTAGTTTGGGCTTGACTGCAAGGAGTTCACACTTTTCAACGAATACTCCCGTCCACTTGGGGATCGTCCCTACTCCAGAGGACCGCGCCTCCCATGGTACTATCCCCATCGAGCTTAAACAAGAGGGTTGGGTCTACTTGTCCAGACCATATTTTAATTTACTGCATGCCAACACACTTACTACCCTTTTCACTTTCCGTTTGCTACTGTCCACAGAAATGTTGTCGTTGAAAGTCGACCTACCGACGACCCCATGTCAAATTCCAATATATATCTCTTGGCTGGCCATAAGGATCTATATTGATACGGAATCATGGATTGTGCGTCAAACGCGCCAACGTCCTCACAGAAACATTGGAAGGCAGTGTAAACCACCCTATGAAGACGTACTTTTTCGCGGGACCTCCAAAGCAGATATCCAAATTTCCCGAAACCTTCCATCTGCAAATTGGTCTTCCCAACCCCAATGCTTATCTTAATTGCCTATCTGGTACCCGACTCGTTTCGGTATTGTTGCAACCTCTGGAGAAAATGTTTCATTCGTTCGACTGCGGCGCAATGTTCCCGTAGGTAACAGATATGCTGATAAAAGTTTCTTTTTGGTCTTGTTGGTTGATTAAATCGCCAATTCCTTCATCATCGCTAACACATCTCCATAGGTGCGCGAGCGCGGTCCATCTGACTCAACAACCTCGAGCTTTCACTTCTATTTTCTTTTACTGTCAACCGTTGCTGTGGATATCGTTAAAACATCAGCTCCTTTACAATCCTATATCCATCTTCCGTATGTTCACCACACGTTAATTTCTTATGCGAACACTTGTACAGTTGTTTTTTCATCTCATTTATCCGTCGGTTGTCGGCGGCCTCGCTCAAACTGTTGCAACTTTGTTTCATCTTATTTCCACTTCTGCTTCTATAAAAATAAAGGCAACGGATTCAGAGACCGCTATTCTCATGTCAGGCGTGTACCTTGTCTTATTCAGATAGCACACCAGCCGTCAGTCTATAAAGCCGTCTTGATTGTCATCTTGCAATTGCCACGATTCGCCTTCCTGAAGGTCGGGGTGGCGGTAAACTAAAACATAGTTGAAGAAACATGATAGTATGAAAAAACCCAAACCGAGTTCGGTACGAAGTCGGAAATGTTGAGTGTCTTGTGAAACATTTAGTTTGGTTGGATTATGAGGTTTTTTGCTCGACTATAGCACTGCTGAAGGCCACCCACGGTGGCCGGAACGTCGAGCAAGAAACCTCGGTAAATTCACGCCGTATAATTCGATGATAATAACACCAATATTATGATACATTGTCACTTTCTGTTCAAAAAGTACGTCTCTCCTATGGATCTATTCACGGTGGGTGGCATCACCTCTATGTGAGGCTCTTTAAAACCCAGTGACGCGTTGAAGTTGTCACCTTGACACCATGTTATACTTCCAGACGGACTAGACGTTTTCAACTCGCCTTGAGGAATGGATAAATCTGTTGTTGAATGCAGAGTAAATAGTCTCGTGCAATCTACAAGAAGTGACAACCTGTTTATTTGAAACAACCTTAATTCCAATTCCGATTAATCCGCTATAGTGTGACGAATGTCATTTCACTAACCCGATTGCCTCCACATGTCGAACGAATCCCGATCAAGAATGCGCATTCGCTATTCATACACTGGAGATTTGAATGGTTATGGTCTGAATACCGTTTTTCGAATTCTATAAGCAACGTTATATCGATGTAGGAACAGGGGTCGATGGATAGGTCACCTAATGCATCGCGTGATTAGCACTGCGAAAATTAGTTGTGTGGTATTCGGTACACACCCAGTTCGATCAAAAACAACTATTTTCCACTACAACCTTTCGTAGCAATACCAGCCTGGAACACCAGTGCTTCATCGCTTTAGGACCATGGTAACTTACTGGAAAGCCAGGAGCACTAGTTGATCAGCACCAGACTAAAATATGATGTCAAACGAAGACGCAACCGATCGAATTTGGCGTCAGCTCGCAGGTTCTCCCGCCACACACGGATGGTATTCGCGGATGTATTCGTTTAACGTTTCACTGCCTGAAAAACGTCTTAATCCCAATGGGAAACAATACTGGAAATGTTAGAAAGCAAACACTGCATAGATCGCCTATACGCCTAGTTTAACACTCAAGTGTTCATTTCAGCGCCCATAAACCCCTACATTGAAGTGATTTACTTTGTGTTCGTTTCAAAAACAAGCGAAATAATCGAAAATTCATCGGCCCCAGGATAGAGCCAAACCCTGATTGCCTTAATTTCGTTAGGCTGCCTATGAAACTACCGGGGATACACCAACCTGGGAGTTCAGGCCAAACAGCCTGGTGGCCCTCAGACATCCACTTTAAGAGCCAGTCAACAAAACCTAATGGGAATACCGAGCGTCAGGACAGTACTGGCGCACTGGGGTGTCTGCACATCGTTTCTCAACTAACCATCCCTCAACATATGTCTAAGGTTACTGTTCCGTCTGAAATGCCATCAATGCAAATTTGTCAGAGTCGTTGCCACGTTTTGACCTAGCCAAGCTAGCACAACGTCGGTCTTGTCCATGTGTGCTTACAAAGTACTTGTCTTTGAATGTTTTTGTTGGTCCTGTGTTATATAGTAATGTCGAGAAATGAGAAACGTCCGTTAACATCGTCTACCAGATGCAGCCTGCCGTTCAGAAGCTAGAAAATGCTTCGTGCTACTTGTGAAAACTTGACCAATAGAACGTCCAACGCAGCGCTTACAAAGCAGCAAATCGCAGCTTAAACTATTCGTTCAAAACTTGCTATGGAGCTGTCAAGTGGTATAGGATACTCCTCCCAATTTTACTCCATCAGTTTGGATATAACAAGTGTCTTGAAGGTTAAGGGCTAAGTCGGTGACTTAGTTCTGTAAACGGCACATCACTCTAAAGAATTTCGATTTACATGGTTACACATACAACCAACCGTTTAACGGAGTAGCACATTTGGTGAACAGCGAGAAAATATGTCGGTTTTTTAATCCGTAATGCTTGGTTTCATTAGCTCTCTCACCAATCAGAAAGGGTAGGAAACTCAATTAGTCTCCCTATTATAATAAGCTTCAGCTGTTGCGATGCACGAAAGCGCACGCACGTCTCAGTTGAGATAAAATAAGAGTGATTGAAATTCCGAACTATCTGGTGAGCTCCAAGGAGGGCGGAACCGATAGTCAGCTGTTCATAGGTTTTATCAACCATACGAACAGCGCCGCACATAGGAGTACACTTTAGTGTCTTGAATGTTGTCCTGAATGAAACATGACCCGGTCTTTGTGCGACAAAGCCGGATGAGAAGCACAAATGATAAAATCAGTTCAAGTTCGGTTGAGTCTCCAAGGAACACCAACGTTGTTTGCAAATGAGTGTACATCAGAAGATACCAACGTGCTTCCTCGGCCAGACAGTATCCAGGTCTATTACCTCGAAACGGATCCAGCATCCTGTAAGGATTGTATGTAGGCTCCATGTGGTAAGGCGCGAGAATACTTGAGGCCGATTCACATTCTCTTTCTGAAAAACGTTGCTCAGAATTCGGGGCTACAGAGGTGGTTGCAACACATCGTGTGGACGTAACATGGTCGTGACGGGCATGCTAACGGTTAGGAACCAGTGGCACTCGACTGCCATACAACTATGAGGAAAGAAAACCTGAGCGAAGACGGGAAAGAGCATAGGTGTAAAAACAAAACAAAGATATGCGTGCTTGGGGACAACGAACAAGTGTGAAGTGTACACATCTTTGAACAGCACTGTATCGCAGCATCCTGCCGGAGTAGGACACCAGCTAGCCAGTCCTTCGCAAACCTCACCCAACACAGATCCAGTGGATTACGATAAGGAAACTTTAATTAGGCAATTCATATGGGAACTGGTAGTATGTGTGCCACAGGGATCAGTTGCACATCATGGCTTGCAGGGCTCGCAGCCATGTACACCGAAAACCATGATGCATGGAGGGTGCGAAGGTTCCACAACACGGCTTGAGGGCAGCCGCTTTCATTTCCATTTGCCAAGTGAAGACCCGTTCCCATGTGAATCTTTCACTAACAATGACTGAATCATTGAAAATCTGAGACCTTGTTATGCTAACCAAGTTGTACACTGAAACAAACCAAAACGTTTACTGTACTCTTTGATCATCGCCGTGCACTTTCCATGTCGTCGCTCAGTGACCTTCTTCGCTTGAAAAATTCCTAGCAAGATATCTAACGCATTGAACTCGAAATAGCTCGTCGATTAGGGCTCATGGTTCGAATCCAACCCCGGTTACTTGTCTGTACTCCAGCAACCTGACAGTACCTCGTGCTCCTTCCAGACCCATTGGCAGGTGCCAGCTGACCCACAATAAACCGCAGATGTACACAACGCACCCGTATACTTTACCGAGGGCTGGAAACCGTACGTACCGAACATCTATACGATCGTACGAACAGAGCACACAGTAGTAGTAGACGACTTGCGTACAATATATGGTGGATATTGGGTTGACGATTTGCAGCACATGGTTGTTTTTCATATCGGTTACATGACCTTCCTCAGATACACGGCCTGGTTATAACTTCAAATAACCAAGTCAGGAGCTGAGTTTTGGTGTGGATAATAATAATAATAATACAACCAACGCAGCTTCCGATGCTGGACACATTCTTCAATGGAAGTAGCCGTTACACAACCGAAAACCGGCTTTCTAACTGCCTCGTCACGGATACGCTGACACCAACCCACATGAGCTACGGTTCTGAGACAACGATTGACGAACACCTGAAGACGTCTCAGTTCCGCTGCTCGAACGGGCAAAGTCTCACAGCCACACAACAAAACAGCCCGTACTGTAGCTTGATACACACGTCCCTTGAGAGTCAAGGATACACCACTCTGACGCCATAGGTGTCTCAAGTTAGCAAACGCGACCCGAGCCTTGCAGATTCGTGCATTGACCTCATCCGTCACACTACAGTTGGGACTAATACAACTTCCAAGATACGTAAAACGCTCCAAAACTTCAAGTGCTTCCCCTGGATTGCATTTGGCGTGTTTGGTGACTGCATATCCAAGAGCATGACCTTACACTTTGTGGGTGCAAAGTGCATACCAAAGGACGGGATGACTTTGGTCAGTTCATCCAAATGCCCCTACTGCTTTCAGAAAGCCGTCAAAAGATGGGAGGGAGCGAAATGCCCCGATGGTTAGAGCGCAAATTTGCTGACCAGAAGGCCAGCGGTTCGAAACGGACCTCCGTCCCTCGACTTCCAGTCGAGGTTTGGACAACCAGCCCTTGTGCTTCCCTCTCATGGCATTGCAGTTAGGCACCGGAAGGGCGCTACAGCTGAAACGATATTTCAACAGATCGAGCAAGCTGGAAGGTCGAAGCCTAACGGTTCTTCGCTAACAACAGCCAGTAGAATGGTCTTACGCTTTAACAGGCACGCACAACGAGTCGCGATGCTGCCAATTATTTTGGTTTGGTGTGCATCCGTATCTTGGCTTGTGTAAACCTGTTCATCCTGAAAGATACAACAGATTTCCTGATCCAACTTCTTTTGCGAAAACCTGCAGTTGCAGACAGCACATGTGATTGACTGAATTCACTTTGCTAGATCTGGCTGGATTAATTTATATACATGCGAATAATACAGGCTCACCCCATCATACTGTTTTCATGCCTAACAAGGACGCCGGTCGAACATCATTCTGGACTGTCATTTGTACAGTGTCCTCCTAGGTTCAGAACCAAGTGTGCAGCGCGGACTTCCCCAAAGGTTGAAACATCAAAATTTTCAGTAAAGCGAGTCAGTTTATTTTAAATGTCAGTTACAGGTTTTCCATAGAAGTAACATAGGCATTATTACCTACTTTGTTTTACTCTCAAATCAAGTTTAGCGGCGAATGACAAATTCCTTGAAGTTTCTCTCAGCGATAGACTGCTCAGAGCTGAACTCACATTTATCTATCCGTGACTTAGGGCTTCCTGTAGTTGCCAACCACTTCTTGCTATCAAAAATAAGAAGGGGAAATAAAGTGACTTACAATAGGTTCACCGATTCTTCACTCCCTTCGAATGTCCCGCAAACTGTGTTATTTTCTGTGTTCTTTATCCAGCCAACAAGATCGAGTTTTCTGGCACACTCGCTGGCATACTGTAGATCGATTAATTAATTAACCAATTAATCGTTACTAGCTCCGCTCACCTTCCTGAAAAACACCCCTTCCCGAATAAAACGCTTGGAAGCATCCTCACTTACCCTGCACACGACCAAAAACTTCAAAATCGCACTTACGAAGCCGCGACATCGTAAGGCCTCAGGTTACTGAAATAGATTAACGACGGTCTATGGGTGGTGAATGTTGAGAGAATGGTTTGAAGGTTGGACGCGGAAAGAGAACGCCTAGAGCCAAGGCGTTACCTCCAGGGGTTACCGCACCACGGAAAAGCATTAGGCGGCGGACAATCTGATTGGCTGGTGATTGAATCCATAGGTTTTTGAAGGTGAGGCAAGCGGGTCACAAGCCGGGTCCATTAGTCACACAATACACTCGGCTGCAAAACATTAGCGAATGAAGTAAAACTTTTCATGTTGCATTTTGTTCTGTATGTGCTCAAACCAAAAACCATCCTAATCTACGCTCTAATTTTTCCAGCTCACCAAATTATCTCGTCCACTGAAGCAATCATACCTCTGGGGGGAAATATGGGTGGAATAAGTTCCCGGCATCGCTGAGACCCCGGGCTGCCTAAATGGGACACGAACGCTTGGGCTAGTACTCTGAGCTTAACTGCCCGATAGCTTTATTCCATCGGGGGCACGTCATAGCTTTCGAAAATTCAATTCCATTGAGCACCGTCACTAACAGTCAGAACACATCAGTTTTGGTCGGATAGGTGACCATATACAGGTGGATATACAAAAAATCGGGCCAATAGTCTACCTCCTCACAAAAGCTAAAAGAGACATGTATCTGTTCTAAGTATTGAGGGTAGTGCTGAAGGCCACACAAATCACTGAGTCGTTAGGTGTAATTGAACCCAGCGCTCTAGCACAATTACAGGAGAAATTCGTCTTGAGCATTTGCATATAATTAGCTCTCCCGTCTGGGTGGAAATTCGGATGCATCCTTGTGCTTCCTGTTTAGTTTTCTCGCCAGTGCAAACTCTGGCATCGTCTGTCAGCGAACTGTGTGCGCTTATCAAGTGAACTCGTGGTTGTGGCGGCGCATTACCTGAAAATCGAACTGGTGACACTCATAAAGTGTTCTTTAGTGAGAGGAATCACCACAAGATCATAAATTGGGTGGGGTTTTCACAATCACCGATTAAGGGAGTAGCACACAGAACTAAGGTTGTTCCAAAGCTACCAGTTTCCGGTTTATTATTGTCATTCAGCAGCTTCCGTCCATTTAAAAAACGCAAGCGAATTAAGTGACTAAGCACCGCCTTTGTGCTCGTGATGCAAGCTTGCCTGTGCGCCGGCATGCAAGAGATTTTCCATTGTAGTGCGATCAAATGTTGAACGAGGGTTACTCCAAACACCAACTTCCGGTGTATTGAGAAAAGTCCTTCATCGCGGGTCGTTTACTTGCAAACAGCGTCTAAACAGTTACGTACCATTGGACAGTAAACTGAAATCTCATATACACCTTATTTTAAAAAACTGAACACCTTTACGCGTCCCTTGAACTTTTGTGGACATTCATTGGCTATCACACAATTGTAAACGAACGCTGCAATGAAGTTCTCAATGTTCCGCCCCGCCTTCCATTTGGCGCTGAAGTGGAGTTAGGAGAGAACCACTTATTATTAACATATCTCATCAGTAGTATCTGCCGTTACACACATTCCTCATTTATAGGTCGCTTGCATGCCACCGGTTTCCATTTACCTCCGTTAGCTCGACCCCAGAGGCTGGTCTATTCGGCAACTTTTAGGGTGTATCGTGCCACTTAAGAAACGGAGTGGCACTCACCATATTTCGATCCCCGACCGTGTTGAATTGTATAGACGCTCCCGAGGCGGACGTTAACGACCGACAGACCTTGCCATCGACTGCCCAGCTCCTGCGACCCTAGCCCACTCTTTACAGGATTCTGAAGATTGCTCCACTTGACCTTCGCGCCTATGGGGAATGGATGTGCCTTTCTCCTCGTCGTTTTCTGTCAAGTCCCTTCCTGAACGGCGGTCTAGTTTTCGAAAACCTTCCTTCTTTCCTAACCGAACTGCTCCGGAGACAAGCGTGTTGCCGGCCACATTCCAATTTCCGGCTCAGTTGGAAGGTGCGGATGTCAACCGTCCATCAGCATGAACGGAGACTTGCCTGTGGTTGACTGTATGGATTCACGATGAGCAAGTGCCACCATCGGCAGGTTCATTTTCCAATCACATACTTTAGCCGCCAGCCACTCCTTAATCGTTCGGTTATTGAGTCTAGTTAGGGCGTTTGTCTGCAGGTGATACGGTGCCGTCTTTAACCGTCTGGCGCCCAACTTCTGCAAGCAAGTCCTGAGATCTTTGCTCTCAAAGCAAAGCCCTTGATCGGTTTGGCAACTAATGGTCGGCCACTAGTTGTTGCGTTACCACTCCACTGATACTCGTTGCCAGTTGATCTAACGCAGCTGCTACCTCGACCCACCGCACTTGGAGTTCTCTCATCATCACGATATATTGATTCCCGCTGGCTGTCACCGTAAATGGTCCCATGACGTCAGCGGACCATAACTCGCAGATTTCTGTGGCAGGAAAGGGTTCTGTGGAATGGGCTGCCCCTAACGTGACCACTTTCATTAGTTGGCGCCGCTTTCAGGGCACCACATAATCCGTAACCTCACTTCTCATCCCGGGCCAGTAGGTCCTCTGCCGAGGTAAGTCGTACGTCTTGGTTCACCCTGTATGTGCCATCTCATGGCATTTGACGATAAGATTCTGTCTCAATGTGCGAAGTATCTCTGACGGCACGACAAAGGAATCGGTGGCTTTCCAGGAAATTATGCCAGCTTCATTCAGCCTCAGCCGATTAAAGTGACTCTGGAACGTTTCTAGTTCCTTGTTTCCCTCTCCGTTCTCAATGTTCCTCCCATACAACAAGGCAGATGCAAGCTTCCGTAGCGCAGGAACCTGCCGTTGGAGTTGAACCAATCTTCTGAGATCCAGTTAGACGACGAGACAATTATACCAACCCTTATCCTGAAGTCCCACATTTCGTCTTCGTTCCTGACACTCAATCTTGCAACCAAAGTGCCCAGCGCGCGAGCTTTCCTCGAGGATCTCTGGTTGTCCCCATCCGCTCCAGGGGTTTGTGATTGGTCTGTCCAAGCAGATATGGCCTCCACTTATCCAGGGCCTAGACGATCTCAATGGTCGAGTACTTATGCTCAGCGTTATTTGGGGACGATTGACACACTTGGAGGCCCCCTTTCTCTGCCATAGGACTGCGCCGATATCGCAGCCACTTGCGTCCGTCTCCAACCCTGGCAGTTTGTGGGTCAGTTGCTGATCCAGAATCCGTGCTTTGGTCAAAAGCAACGTGTGCTTTCTTGGTCCGCCCTAATTTCCGATTCCGCACAAGCAAGACGTACATCGGAGCAATAATTGTCCTGAAATTCTTGACGAATCGGTTGTATAATGCTGCTGGTCCAAATAACCGCTGTAAGGACCGCGTTGAAGTTGAACAGCACAGCCTTTGTTATTTGCCTGTTTTTTGGTAGTGGTCTAGCTTCTCCGTGGCCCAATTTATGACCCAGTAGTTTTATCGAACCCCAAGAGAGCTGTTTCGTGACCTCATTTGTCCGCAGGCCAGCCTCCGGGATACGCTCCAGTGCGGTTCTCAATTGGACTGGGTACTTCGATTACTAATTGCTGTACACAACGATATCGTTTCCGTGCACGGCAACACCCTGAAGCACCAAGCGCCGGAATGCGAATGTTGCCCCAGACAAACCAAACGGAATACCTCTAAGCTGATATTTGGTGGCCCCAAAAGCGAGCACCGCTTTCTCCCATTCCTCCTTGATAAATAGTTGCCAGCATCCGAAACGAAATCAAACACCGTGAGATATCGGGAATGCTGGCGGGAATCGAAAATCATTGCAGCCGAAGGGACAGCTACAACCCAATTTACGGTCAGACCGTTTAAATAACGGAAATTCACACAATATTGTTTTATTCAGTTCTCATTCCTTACAGGCATAACAGGGGATTTATGCACACTGTAAGCTTCCTCGATTATGCCATTCTTCAACATCTCTTGTAATTCTTTATGGATAACATGATATTATACTTTCATCTCCGGGGCCCAAAACTGATCATTTTCACCACTCCATTGACGGCCACCGTGAAACTTCCTAAGGTAGAACTATCATAATTAATGGCAGTTCATATGATTAATTAATGTTTAAGAGTCAGTTTGAGATATATGATGAAAGCGAAATGGAGGACGCCGGTCAGAGTCTCCCGTATTCGGTCCACTATTGTTAAGGCAACGCCAAGACAGCTATTGAAGAACATGTAATGCTCCCACAGGAAGTGGCATACCCTAGGGTTTGGGAGATTCTACACAAACTTCTTCGGTCACCCTCATATTACTGTTCGCTCTCCACATAAAAATCTGTTTTAATTAGGGTGACAGATCCATGAAACAACCAAACCTTCATCGGACTTCAGTATAAAAATGCGAATTTTAGAGGTTGTGCAAACGCAGGTCACGACGTTTCAGAGTATCGATGACTGGCCAAGATCCGACTATCACTGACGTGGCAGATTTGTGGAGGCAGTTTGTTTGGGCAACTGGCTCAAAAATAGGACAAAAGACGCATTCCAGTGCCGTTAAATTTGCCAACGAAGCTCTTGGACTGGATGGTTTCATGAGTTTTCTAACCAACACTAAGATAGCCACAGACCATGATCCAAAGCCCTGCTGTGTTCACAGCCTTACCCGATTTTCGGCTGCCAGGTGGAAGGTCCGAATGTTGATAGTGCGTGCGGGAACGTAGCGCATGGTTTTTTTTGCTTGGGAAACCGCCACACGTTTATAGATTGCAGGTCAATTGTTTGCTGCGGTCAGTCGGTTTGTAGGGTATGACGTCACCGGTTGTTAGATAAACCGAAACCCGGAAACGAAGCAAGGACTACTTCACAGTCTGGACGGTTTTGTGACCCAACTCAAGGTAGTCGGCTTCCAGCACACCCAGGAGTTATCACTGCTAAGCTTGGCACTCCTGCAGGAAAGGTAACAACGTACGCGCTTTCAGATGCCGATTCCGACATAACGTTAGTAAAGCGGAACTTTTTGGTGAAAAAATGG